CAACAAAGATCACAGTACATGTAAGGTGCACATAGATTGTTTTGGAAATGGAAAAGAGCGTGAGGGGAAGTGGCTTTATAAAAGGAATTCTCAGTTCTGAATTGCCTGCGTGTGTGTGTGTGCATTTGCACACTGGTGGGTTTCAGAAGCTTGGAGGACTATCTTGGAATATGTAGTCGCCCCATTAGGATTCTCTGTCCAACAGATTAGTCTTTTTGCCAGTTTGGTGTAGTGGTGAAGTGCACAGACTCTAATCTGGGAGAACTGGGTTTGATTCCCCACTCCTTCACTTGCACCTGCTGGATGACCTTGGGCAAGCCATAGTTCTGGCACAGCTGTTCTAGAAAAAGAGCAGTTTCTGTCAGAGTTCTCTCAGCCCCACCTACCTCACAGGGTGTCTGTTGTGGGAAGGGGAAGGAGTTTGTAAGCCGCTTTGAGACTCCTTTGGGTAGTGAAGGGTGGGGTATAAATCCAATCTCTTCATCTTCTTTTTCTTTTTGTTACTTCATTGTTATTAACTTTGTATCATACCCTTCCTAGAGAAAGGTCAGAGTGGGGGATATATTTATTTATTTATCAGATTTTTACCCCGCCCTCCCAGCCGGAGCCAGCTCAGGGTGGCTTACATATATGCGATTCTTGTCTCTGCCGTCCCCCAACCTTATTGTCATAATAACCCTCTTAGGCTGAGAGAGGGACTGGCCCAGTGAGCTTGAATGGCAGACTGGGGATTTGGACCCAAATTTCATTTATTTACTTCATTTATACCCGATGGGGACTCAACGTGGTCGATGTTGTTCTCCTCTCCTCCATTTTGTCCTCACAACAACCCTGTCCAGTGGGTTAGGTTGAGTGTATGACCGGCCCAAGGTCGCTCAGCAAGCTTCCATGGCAGAGTGGGGATTCAGATTTGAGTCTCCTAAATCCTAGTCCAACACACTAACCTCTACACCGTGCTGTATCTCTATAGATCTGTAGCTGTGTGAAATTATCATCCCACTAACATCGTTTTAATGCAATATCCCATCAGCCCTTACTCTAGTTCAGCTGTACTTTCATCAGGTGGCAAGAGGTGTTTTCCCCATTGTCTGATCATGCTGGGCAAGAGCAAGGAGCGCTTGTTGAATCCAGGCTCTGGACTGTAGTTGGCTATCAGGTCTCACTTTCGTACTTAATAATAGATTTGTGTTTTCAAGAAGTAATGCCCTGCTTCAGATTGCTATGTATTTTTTGTCTCTTTATTGCCTATTCTCTAACAAGTGAAAAAAAGAGATTAATTTCTGAACACTTGTTTTGAATTTAGAAAAGAACAATTACCTTGAATGTAAGAGGCGTACCATTTTGGTCTTGATTTTGAGTGCAGCTGTACAGCTGAACATCTGCATGTAAATTGGTATCATTTTGCAAGCTTTGAAGGAAAACACTTTCAAATATTTTTGACATCAATCATTTCACTATGAATCCATTTTTTGAATCCTCTGAATAGAAGCAAATGTCTAAGTGGTGGGTGGAGGGGTGGGTAAGTGTTCCTGCCCCTAAGTATCAGGTGCCTTGCAGTGTAGCTGAACTTCGCCTGTGTAGTGATCTGCTGTGTTGCATGGTATTGTCAAACTTCCCTCTTATAATTAACTCATTATTGCATTCCAAAGCATGGACTCCTTACAGAGTTTCTCCCTCAGAGGGGGAGTGTGTCTGTGTGTGTGGATTGGGGATGATAGTTAATGGTTTAAACGAGGCCTTGACAAATTTTCTTTGGCCCTAGAAACCAGCCCTAAAATTAAGAAGCCAGATTCATTTTTCAGCCTTTGGGTTTTCATATTTTAACAACAATATTTTTAATTAACAGTATTGTTGTTACCACAAAACCTAATCCTAACTTCTTCACAGATCCAGCCCTTTGTATTTCTATGTAGAACTGCTACAATAAAATAATTGCTGAAAACACTGGACACCACAATGAAATTTCCAGGTGCCATGGCAACCTGGCTCTTGGGATTTTCTGAGCCATGATTGAAATGAGTCCCTGCAGTGTTAAAGGGAAGTTGTTGAGTGGAAAGGCAAGGAGGTGGCCGTGGTACGTGGGACTGTGAAAGGTCTCTGGCTAGCCTTATGAATACTGACAATATATGCTTATATTTTAGCAACATTGGTTCATAGATGAGATGAACTTCTGTGAGCTACCTCCTGTATTGGAGCGGAGGAGGAGGAGAATAGCTTGTTAGAAGGTGTTCAATAAGTCTGGAAGTAAATAATTATAATGAAGGGATGGTATTCTCCCATATCTTTGATTTGTAGTGTTGTGTATTTTTAAAAACATTCCAATAGCCTACACCACCCTTCCCTAGCTGAAGGACTTACATCTGTAACTGTAAACTACCTGTGTTGGATCTGTAAGACCTTTGTTGTTGATCCTGGCATATTGTTAGGTTAGGTTTTTTAATCTTACTACAGATTCTTGTAACTATTTTTATATGTTATATATAAGCAAATGTATCTTGTCTTGAAACTGAACTTATCCCAGACTCAGTACTAGGCTTGTATGAGAGCAAGTAGTATAAGGAGGAGAGGAGGAGGGACAAAGGGTGGATCATACCTGCTCCAATCCTGGGGTTCTGTGCCCTTGAAGTCCACAACATTTGATAGAAGGTCTTTGTATTGAATACCCAGGGGTAGAAAGGGACAGAACAGTGCAAATATGATCATCCTTAGTTTTGAAGTATATTGGGCATTGAAATTAATGCTGAAAATAACAAGGGCATAAGAATCTGGTCCATGGGGTCACGAAGAATCGAACTCGACTGTGCGACTGAACAACAACAAAGAAGGGGAAAGACTGCTAACTCAGAAATACTAGAGATATGAACTTGGGAGGAATGTCAGTTTGGAATTTTTCATTTGGCATTCTGCCTTTTTTGTACATTTCTAGGAAAAGGATATAATGACAAAAGGTTAAGAAAGATTTCCTCCCACAGTAGTGCTGATGAGTTAAACTTTTCTAAACTTAGCAGAAACAGTTCATATTTGTATGGAGGGGTTTTTCCCCCCTAGGACACATTACTTAATCTTCAAGACAGGAACTCTAAACATATTGACTACAGTCCACACAAAAGTTAAGCATGTTTAAACTCTGATTTACATGGTCTTGGTGGGCTAAATTCTGTTGGATGAAGGCTATAACAACTGACAATCCTATTTTAAACTTGCACTTACACAGAATATCATGTTTTCTTAGCAGAACGTAATTTGGTTTATGTTTTCAGTTCTTATTTCAGAAACGAGCTTAAGTTCACAGAGAAGCAACAATTGGTTAACTTTAGTTGCATTTTTACACTAAAAACATTTGGGGAACAACAGAAGGGATACTTAGAATTTGACCTCCAGTTTTATGGATAACTGTGAAATTAGTCTCATCAGCCTGATATGTTATCCTCCAGTATCTGAGAAATTAAGTCTTGTGGCTGCTCTGCTGAATGTCTGAAGGTGGAAATGATCATGTATTCTTGCCCCATTGTTAAAATGGTATCTCCTGACAAAGAACCAGAAAAGGAAGAGTGGTAGTGTGTTTTCATTACACAGGTTGTAGTATTGAGCCTTCTTTTGGAGGATGGGAGTATAAAAGTAATTCTGGTCCTGGCCACTGCAGTTTGACTAGGAAAAGACTATCCTGAGGATATGATGTATTCTGACTTCATATTCCAGTATGTAGCTGGGCTAGCCTTCTCAGGGAGCCGCAGAGGTGAGAGGATATATTTAGGAAACTTTCTAACAAATGTAGTAGAAATACAGTCTGCCATTCAAGTGTATCTAAGTATAAGCAAGTACCTTGAACATGGGACTATGTCTTCTCTTTTCTCTCAGTTTGTCTAAAATGTTAGTATCTTTCAGAAGTAGAATATCAAAATGCTATTGTTCAGATATAACAACAAGCTATGGATTGCTTCTCTGTGAATGAGCCTATGGAAATCCTTTCTAGCTAATTTTCTAGAATTGAAAATCATTTGTTAGTAAACTCTGTGTGTGAGGAGAGGGGGTATGGATGGACAAGACCAGCTTGTTCACCACTACAGCAAACTATGGTTTGCTGTTACAGACCGCTGGTTATATAGATTTGTAAAGGCTGTTGAAATGGGCCCTGTTTTACACAACGGAACTATTTCTGGGCTAACTGTGTAACTGACAGGTATTTTGCCTTGTAAGCTTTAATTAAAAGGCAGAGTAACAATTCCTTCCGTTGTTCTAGCTGCACTTGCTTAATGCATGAAAAAAATATTCAGGAAGGCATAACTTGCAGAATCTGTCTTGGTCAGTAGTTGGAGGGGTATGTAAAGGGTGATGGAAATGAAGTAAGCAGAGTTCCTGGGTTTACATTTTATAAAAATGAATTTGTAAATCTAAGTATATGGTCCAAATATGTCAGACTTAAAATACAGTACTATTTATTCCTAGTATTTGGTATTCAGAGTTCTATTTCCTCTGAAAAAGGCTGTATCATTCAGCCATTATTACTGATATGTGCTTTCATTGGCAGAGCTGGAGAGGAGGTTGAATAAGTAGGTGCAGTTTTGGATTGGTAGAACTGAGGCAAAATTTGTTTGGGAGATGTTCGAGACACAGTGGGAGATGTAGCACCCCACTTTTGAAGGCACCAGCCATTTGCTGTGAATGTATGATAAAGTTCTTTGGCCACAGTTTGAAGAGATTTTCCAGGTCTACATTGGTAGTGGTTTTTCTGTCTGTTTTCCTGAAGTAGCTCCTCTCACTTGAATGTACATGCTGTATCTAAACTCCTTGAGGTTTAAAAAGCTGTATGATGATTTAGTGTTGAAACTGCCAAAAGAGAAGCTTTCAGAAAAACTGTGGTGTCTGCATGCACATAACATCTTCTGAGTTTGGTTCCATCCACTGTGGTGTCTGCAGTGCGTGTGCATAACATCTTCCTGGGTTAGGTTTCATTTATCAAACTGTTGCATTGTTCTAACAATATTCCTTTATGTTTTCAGGAAACTAGTGAAAGATGGTGGATCGCTTGGCAAACAGTGAAGCAAATACCAGACGAATAAGCATAGTGGAGAACTGTTTTGGAGCCGCTGGGCAGCCTCTGACTATACCTGGCCGTGTTCTGATAGGTGAAGGAGTCCTAACAAAGCTGTGTAGGAAGAAGCCAAAAGCAAGGCAGTTCTTCTTATTCAACGATATTCTTGTGTACGGTAACATTGTCATTCAGAAAAAAAAATACAACAAGCAGCACATCATTCCTTTGGAAAACGTAACTATTGAATCCATCCAGGATGAGGGGGAGCTACGGAACGGGTGGCTTATCAAGACTCCAACTAAATCTTTTGCAGTGTATGCTGCCACTGCCACAGAAAAATCTGAATGGATGAACCATATAAATAAATGCGTTTCTGATTTGATTTCCAAAAGTGGAAAGACTCCCAGTAATGAACACGCAGCTGTCTGGGTCCCTGACTCTGAAGCCACTGTATGTATGCGCTGCCAGAAAGCAAAGTTTACCCCTGTCAATCGTCGACATCACTGCCGGAAATGTGGGTTTGTTGTGTGTGGGCCCTGTTCTGAAAAAAGGTTTCTCCTTCCAAGCCAGTCTTCCAAGCCTGTGCGGATCTGCGACTTCTGCTATGACCTCCTTTCCACTGGAGAGATGCCTACATGCCAGCCAATGAGATCGGACTCTTACAGTCGGTCGCCGAAGCCTCCTTTAAATGATATCTCTGATGACGACGATGATGATGACAGCAGTGACTAAGAGAATGTCTTGAGGTTAGAACTGGCATTTGAATCTCCATTGCTGTTTGAGGAAGCCAGGCTCTTCTGATAGGCCTACCCTAGCCATAAAATTGCCTGAAAAATCATCAGCTCAAATGTGCCTCAGTATCTGAATTTCTTAGATATAGAATCGTTACTCTCTTTTTCTGCAGGGAAGGACTGTTGCAAATATATCACTTTCCAGTTTTGTTTACTTGATTTCCTGTGTAGGGGTGAATTGGTCTTTTTGCCCTCTCCCTTCCCACTTCAGGATAGAAAACCAAGTACAGCTTTTTGTTACCAACACCCATCCCATATGGTATGTAACAGGGAAATTGTATTCCTTTTTAGTATTTGGTGAGGGATTAAAAGTGCATAGAACTGATATTTTGTATGTGTATCAAACTGAACAGAACATCTAACCAGGCTTTGAAACTAATGTTATACTATCATCCTCTTAACGTAAATACATACTTCAATGTCATTAACTTTTATGCAAAGATTTATATACCAAGCAGTGCCTTGTAATGACTGCACTGTTGCAGGAAGAACTAACATATTGTACCCTTTTTGCAATTGCATGCAACAAGCTGGAAAATAGTTGGTGCTGTTGACAATAATTGCTGTTCTGTAACTAGGATTTAAGAAGCAGATACTTTGGGTACATCACTACAATGTGCGTCAAGTTCACCTCACAAAAAGCCGTTTTCTCTAATATGTCATATGAGGATTGACTTGGCACTGGTGTGGAGTCCAGCTGAGCTCCATAACAGCGTGGAACTCCCTCAGCCTTCATAGAATGGGGACTGCCTAGTAAATCCACTTGAAGAAGTTCTAATTTAATATCTTGCTACTCTTAAGTTAGGGGTGAGAAACGTTTGTAGCTATGGAGTCTTGGTAATTGACAATTGTATTTGCTTAGATCATGGTATTTCCTGTACTGTGTTTGATTTGCTATTTATAAATTACTTCCTCAGATACTATACTAACTTTTTTAAACATTAGGAATAGGGTTTTTAATAATTAGAATTTGTTTTAAAAGCACAATATGGGAAGATGTCCCAACCAGCCATCTGGGGAAAAACAAACTTGGAAAATGCCCATCCTGTATACACAGCTGACCTCGAGATACAAATAAACTGTAAATGACTTCATTTTAAATACATAAATCCAGGACCAGGAGGGATAGTGCAAAAAAAGTGTTTCCAATAAAGTATTTACCTTTTATCAATACATTCTTTTCTATGATGATGTCATTTTTAGAGAAACATGACATTTAGCTCTGTGAAGTTTTGTAAAATCCCAAGACATAGCTATATTTTTATATAACTGTAGTATGTTTAAATGATTTGCATAGAAAACCCCTGACAGAATTGTGTGTGTGATCTATAGCACCTGAGATTTTATAGAAGTGGTGGATATTGTTTGTAAAACAAAATTATAGTACCTAGGCATTTGTTTCTAAAGTGACAGTTTCTTCACTGTTGGCTTACTCTGACAATAACTGGGTGATATTTATTGAATAAATAATCAGTTCTCCATCTTGCACTAGTCTCCCAGTCTGTAATCTGGTTGCTGTTGCACAGATGTCAGTTTTGAAAGAAAATGACCTGAAGGGTACAATCAGTGTTTAGCAGTCTCCCGTTCCTTTTTATGTGGTTTGCTGGGGAGTGTGTTGGAGACAGTGCAACAGTTCCTGGTATATTATTCCTATCCAGAGTTAATTTTCTAACTGTAATTCCCATATGTGAATAGTGCAAACATGAAAGGAATTGTGCATTAATTTGGATGGCGGTCTAGAATTGCAGGCATGCTCACATACTTCACTCAGAGCCTTCCTACAAGAAGTATCTCCAACTGCTCCTTGGGTGTATTCCCAAATTCAGAAGGCGTCTGAGTCTTTAAAAAAAAAAAAATTAACAGAGAAGTGGCACACAGTTCCCTGGTCTCTTTTAAATCACACCCAAAATGCTTTGATTGTGTCAGCCTTTTATAATGTGCTGAAGGGTATCTTTTTGACTGCTTTGCAGTAGGCATGAAGGACTGTATTAAAGCTGTAGGCCATGAAAACACTATGAGAACCAGATGAGCAATATTGCGCAATTGGTCCCTGGAGATGGATGAATTGCAGGGCTGAGAAGAGTGATCTTAGGCTGGGATCCTAGCAGTGCTTATGTTGGGAGCAAGTCCTACTGAATACATTCCACGTAAATGATTGCAAGGTGGCCGTCTTAGGCATGCTTCCTCTAGAGGAAGTCCCACTGAAATCAGTGTGGGACTTTCCTCCATGTAAAGAGCTATAGGAGCTGGCTGCAAATGTATGCTTTGTCCTCTGAAAGGATAACTTGAGGATCTTCTAGATGGTAAAGTATTAAGATAGATCTTGATACAGTTTAGCTTCTTTATTCTTATCCTTTGCTGTATATTAAATGCTGAATGTCTTTGTATATTAAATGCTGAATGTCACAGTTATATTTCCCCAGTTATCTTTGTACCTTGCACAAAGGCGTCAGCACTTTCTAACCTTCAAGAAAATCTACCCTCTGTTTGGCTTTCCCCATCTATCCCGTCCTCGTCATTATCTGTGAATGAAATTCACGCTATGCTGCAATGGATCCCTGAAGCTGTTACCAAATTGACATCTGTAGGAGAAAATAATCCTAGAAATAGGTGTGTGGAAATAGGATACCACTTTTGTGACTTGTTCAGAATTTGTGGGAAATAATTTTTTTGTCTTACATGTCTGTGTGTTAAACTTTTAAAAGGGCTTAATAAATGGTTTTGTAATTTTGTTTGTCAGACTGGACTGATTTCCCTGTGTAAATCTGGAGTAGTTTTGAATAAGCAAGTCTTTATTTCTTAACCTTAAGGTGTCCCAAGGGGGGGAAAGAGGTCACTAATGCACTTTTAAAAAGACCAGAACACCCAGGTTAGCAACACTTAAAACTGCTGTCATGTAGGAAAATATCTGCAAGTATAATCCTCTAGTGGAGAGTTTTTATTAAAAAGGGAAGCATTTTTTCCCAGCACTTAAAAAAAAAATTACACTCAGAGGTAGATTGCCTGACGTGGGAAGCGGCTAATGACTTAGTGAAGTTTTTTCTTTTTCTGAGGTGGACTTTCCTTCTACTTTCCTTGGGCTCTAATCTGTCTGTCTACAAAAAAGCTGTCTTGGAGGGTAGTAGGCCATTCACTGAAAAGTGGTGTAATGCAGCGGCTAAAAAATGTAAATTGCGAAAGAAACTGAAAATAAAAGCAAGTGTGACATCCTCTCTTTACTCATCTTATGGGGAGGGGAGAAAGCAAGCCAAACACTATGGCAGGGTGCAATTCATTTGAGAAGAACATTAATGTTTTACAATATTTTAATTGTTTTGAAACAGAACGCTGTGTTTTATACCACATCTTAAATACAAAACAAACATTGTGCATATGCATTTACAGCATGCTAAGCCATTTTGAGTGCCAAATTTCAGGAATGGTCTCTGAAAATCTATCTGATTTTCCCCACACCCACACAGATGATAGATCTAAGTGTTCATCTCTAGAGAAATTCATGTGCACCCAGATGCGCAGATTGTTACCCGCACTCCTTTAGTGGTCCAAGCAGTTTGTGGCCAAGCCTCCTTACTTATAAGTGCTTCTATTTAAAACAAACTAGAGTACAGTCAGTTTCTCTCTAATAGCATTACCCCTGAGCTTGCACCTGTTCTGACCTTAACGTTATATATAACTTGACATTTTGAATCCAAATGTAAGTCAGGGGACAAAGCAGACTGTGAGTGTAAATGGCTGGACTGTGGCAGAGGTGTTCATTTCCCCCGCTGCCCCGATTGGTAGGTTGTTATGCTGAAGCAACACACTGCGCAATCTGGACTACAGCTGCTATTTAGACCAGTAACACATGAAGAAAGAAAGGGAAGTCTCTATCTGACACTACAAGTGCCAATGGTTAATTAGTGTATTTCCAATACAAAATAGAATGCGCTGGTCCCTACAAGCCCAAGAGGCAACAAAAAAGTACAAACAAAACTGGACCGATATTTGTAAGAGTGTGATGTTTTTCATTTTGGCCTTTAAGGGGCTTTTGTAGACTGGTGCTAGAAAGGCATTAGGTTGAACAATCATTTTATATTCTTGAGACTGTTTCTTTTTTGTCTTCACCCTAGAATATTGTTGTTAGCCATTCAGTCGTGTTTGAATCTTGGCAAACGAAATACCAAGGTGCAATTTGAAACCAACAGAAGATCCAGGTGATAGGCCTTAATGTCATCACCTGAAACATTTTTCTGTCTTCCCCCCCAATGTTTTCCAGGACTCCAAAGTTTGCACACTGTTATGTGATGTTTTGGTTCTAATAGAAAGACTTACATGACTTCTGTGTTTGGATCTTCCCATAATGAGAGAGCTGGTCTCTTAATTTCTATTCAGGCCAAACAAAACAATATGCAACCTGCTAATTTCACATTCAGTCTTGATTTCTGAACTAAAATGTTACTCTCCCAGAGTTATTTATTTTTATTTCATCGGCTATCAGAAAGGCTATCAAAAGGCATCTGTGTGAGATCCTTTATATCCCGCCTTCCCTAGTCGTTCCAGGAGGCTTACAATAATAGTTAAAATATTCAGTTTAAAACCCAAAATAAAAATAAAATAACAAACCCTGTATAGATCTGTGGTGCGGCCTCATTTGGAATACAGTTCTGATCACTGTATCTCTAAAAGGACATTGCAGAGCTGGAAAAGGTACAGAGGAGGGCCACCAAGATGATTAGGGGGTTGAAGCTCCTTCCCTGGGAGGAAAGGCTGAAGAGTCTGGGACTTTTCAGTTTAGAAAAGAGGCGACTAAGGAGGGACATGATAGCGGTTTATAAAATTATGCATGGGACGGAGAGTTGACACAGATAAATTTTTCTCCCTTCCCCAAACTACTAGAATTTGAGGGCATCCGATGAAACTGATGGGCAGTATGTTCAGGACAAACAAAAGAAAATACTACTTTACAGAGAACTATTAAAATGTGGAATTCACTGCCAGAGGCTGTAGCAGTGGCCACAGGAATAAACATCTTTAAAGGGGGATTAGATAATTCATGGAGGACAAGTCCATCAATGGCTACTAGGCATGGTGACTGAGGGGAATCTCCACATTCAGAGGCATTATGAATCCCAGAGCCAGGAGGCCACATCAGGGGAAAGCCCCGGCCTGTGTGCCCTGTTCTTGGCCCTCCAGAGGAACAGGTTGGCCACTGTGTGTGACAGGATGCTGGACTATATGGACCATTGGTCTGATCCAGCAGGGCTCTTATGTTCTCAAAACCCTCTCTACCTCCTCTCCCTTAAAAGATGCCTGCCAATTCAAACTCCCCCATAAAGCCCTGACAAACAGGCAAGCCTTGCAGCACCTCCAAGGAGCTCCCCCCCTCACCTTTTCAGGGAGCCCATGCCATACAGCCCGAACAATGATGGAAAAGGCCCACCAAAAAGGTAGATGCCAGATGGGCCACCCTGAATGGTGGGATAGCAAACAGATGACTGTCTGACAACCATAGCTGGCACACAGGGACACATAGAAGAAGGCAGTCCTACAAATATGTGGGTCCCAGGTCACGAAGCGCTTTAAAGGTCATAACCAGCACCTTGAACTGAACTTGGAAGCCAATGAAGCTGTTTCAAAATGAGCAAGATGGGTTCTTGGAGGCTAGCCCCTGACAGTAGTTGGGTTGCTGCATTCTGGACCAGGTGTAATTTCCAGGTTGTCTTTGAGGGCAGCTTCATGCAGAGTGCACTGCAGTAATCCAGCCGTGAGGTTACAGAAGCATGGATCAGCGTGGCCATATCAGCTGAGTCTAGGTAACAAGGCAGTTGGCAAATCCAGTGCAGCTGATAGAAGGCACTCCTGGCCATGCCATCCTGCTTTTCAAACAGCAAGGCAGGGTCCATGAACACCCCTTAGCTCTCTCTCTCTTTTTTTGGGGGGGTGGTATTTTTCCTATGTGTGTGTGAGTGTGTGTGTGCACCTGGAAGTCATGGCAACCTCTGGTGACTGACCTCTACTGGGGGCCTGGAGGATATTCACAGAGGTGACTGAATAAAGCCTGCCCCCGCCTCCTGACTGCTGGTATTCCAAGGAGGTCTCCCATCCAAGTACTTGCCAGAGTCGACCCTGCTAGCTTCCGATATCTGATGAGATTGGGCTTGCCTGGGCTATCCAGGTCAGGGCAACACCCCAAGCTCTTAACCTGCTCTGAAAAAGCCAATGCCACTCCATTTAGGACAAGTAGATTTAGTCCCTCTAAAGAATACCAGCCTTCCCAACCAGCATTACCTCTGTCTAGTCTGGATTCAGCTTCAGTTTGTTCTGCCTGACCTCAGCCTCAAAGCACTGGTTCAGAACAAAGATGGAAGTGTCTGGAGGCTTGGGTAATGAAATACAGAGTTGGGTGTCACCTGCATATTGTTACACCCGACTCCAAAGCTGTGGATACACACACACAATTTTACTTGGGGATGGGGATTTAAACATTTCAGCACTTCACAAGATAAATTGCGCCCAACTGATTCTGCACTTATAGTGGAAACTCTTTGTGCCTGGTCAGACAGAAGAGAGCAAAACCACCAAAGAGCTATGCCCTTAATATCAATTCCATATTCAAGCCGGTGGATAAGAATGGAGTGGTCAACTGTGTCAACGGCCATTGAGTTTCAACAATATCAACAGAGAAGATTGCCCCCTGTCCAGCTTTAAACATAAATCGTTCACCAGTGCAACTAAAGCCTTCTCGGTACCAAACCCAGGCCTGAACCCAGACTGAAATGTATTAAGGGCAGATGTGACATCCAGGAAGCCCTGAAGCTGTTCTGCCACCACACTCTCCTATCACCTTCCCTAGAATAGGTAAATGGGAGACTGGCCTATCATTGGCAACCTCACCCCACGCAATGAATGTTTTATGAGCAGAGGTCTAATAACCACCTCCTTTGAAGGCCTAGGGAGAGCCCCCTCAATCAGGGAGGAACTGATGAATTTCACTAATGACTCCAATATCATTATAATGTATTATGCTCTTATTCCATTACAATCGTGTCCTGCTGGCGTGTTCATTCTTCTGGAGTTCTAATCTCTTTTTAAAAATGCCCTCTTGAATCTCTTTTTTAAAAAATGCTCTCTGGTACCAAGGCCTGCAACAAACCAAGATGCCTACTCTGCTCTCATATAGATTCTAGCAACACCATCAGTGGACCCAGCAACATCAGACATACCATCTCAGGTTCCTACTCCTGCTCATGTTCTAATGTAATTTATGCCATCACATGTCAGCAATGCCCTTCCACCCTCTACATTGGACAAACAGGCCAGTCCCTTCAACAGTGGACATAAATCTGATATCAGAAACCACAACATTCAAAAAACAGTGGGGGAACATTTTAACCTTCCAGGACATTCAGTTGCTGACCTAAAAGTAGCAGTTATGGAATGTTAAAGGAAGATTAGAAAGACTGCTGAATTGCAACTGATAACGAAGCTCAGGACAATGCAACCACCTGGACTGAATCGAGACCTAGGTTTCCTGTCTCATTACCAGTGCTGATTTCTCCATGCCTACTACCTCACTGCATATCATGCCTAATCCAATCACATCTTCTATAGTAGTAGTAGTAACAGTAGTAGTAGCAACAACAACAACAACAATAATAATGTCATTTGGCATCTAAAATCACTTTCCAATATACAGGACAGATGGGTTCACATTCTAGCTGTA